AGTAACCCTCACCCCTGCTCTGTAAGTAGCCCTCACCCCTGCTCTATAAGTAACCCCTACAAACGCCTTGGTCTCCTATGTTGGACTTTGGTAGACCTGCACTCTGCTCTCTCAGCGTTACCCCATCTGGGTGAAGCCAGTGTTTGTCTTTATCTCCTCAGGGAGAAGGTCATGAAACATGGGTCAACTCTTCATGTCAAGTCTTACAGAATGAATGCACTAGAGAATGTCACCAGCCTCGAATGTCTCAAACTGTCCAGAGACCTCTGAGCTTCCGTTAGCAGAGGTGACTATGTTAAGGGAAGGCTGGAGACCCCTCCCAGTCTCTCAGGACATGAGCTACTGCTTTATTCTTGTTAAATCCTTACTTGGAGATTTGCTCACCAACTGGAAACTCTTCTGGTCCCAAACATCATCCATTTTTCCTCAATACCAATATGAGCAAATATTATTGGGTGAATATGGTCAGTTCATCTCCACATGCTCTAGTTCCCATTTCAGGGACATTGTATGACTTTCTAACAAGAGGAAGAGATTATTTTGCTTTGTGCCAAACACGTATTTGAGATAATTATAATTTTTTGAAAGCCACGAAAAGAGGATGAAGAGAGAGTTCAGGGGTTAAGGGTTCATAGTGCTTTAGCAGAGGACCCGAGTTTAGTTTCCAGTACCTACACAGAGTAGCTAACAACCACCACTAACTAACTCCAGCTCTAGGGGATCTGATGCACTCTGCTGGCCTCCACAGTCATCTGCACTCATGTGCACACACACACCCTATGGTAGTTTTGGCTTTAGAAGAAGATAGGCAGTCTCATATTAGAGCTCTGAAAAGATCCCCCAAAGCCTCCAATGGAACAGTCCTGCTCTTCAGAGATGAAGATGGGTAGTTCATGGTGCTAATGATGTGTAAATGTGCGCTCAGCTGGTTTTTAAGCTTGACTTTGAGGCTTATTTTTGTTAATATTTATGGTTAGGAATCTGTCCCCCTGGAGACACTCACTGCAAACAGCTCTCCTGTTGTTCAGGTAAAATTTACAACTAGCTGGATTAAAAGGAGACACAGCATGAGGCCAGGCTTGCATTTCTTAGTAGGCAAGGAAAATCCACCAATGGCTTTGGATGAGTCTGGATCATTAGTCTTTATGTGCAGTCATCTTTGAAATATAGCTCATGACCTAGGTGCTATGAATCCAAGAGGGAATAGGGGGTCCATGTGCTGGAACAGAGACATGGTACAAACTCCACAAGACAAGATCTGCTTCAAGTGCTATTTATTGGCTCTGTAATTCTACCTTTCACTGCCACAGTCTCTGTCCCCATCAGAGTTAACTCTTGGTGCAAATCTAAGGAGACTTCGGTGAGTTCCCAGCCCAGTGGAATAGAGGGGCCTTCCTCCCCAAAGGAGCATGCATGAGCCCTGGCATTTGCAGTGGTGCCATCTGCACTTGCCAGAGATTTCACACCACTCTATCTCAAATGGGCCTTGAAATTTTTGACTTGGCCCAGCAGAAGGAAGTGGCTTTACTGTTCAGCCATGCATCTGCTCATCAGCTCAGGGTAGGCTTGGAAACTAAGGGGAGATGACAGATTTAGGATCCAAATATTTCTTCTGTATATTTTAAAATAACACGCAATTCTGTATCCTCTGAAAGCAATTTTCAAAGGTGTGGAGGGATCTCACATGAGCCCCTAATACAGGCATGTATGCCAATTCCACAGGCATAGCCAGACCACTTCATGCTCACATACTTGATGTTTTAAAGACACCTAGACCCAGCTCAGGTGAAATACTTACCTGTCAAACCAAGGGCTTGGACAAGTGAGCTTTCTAGTTCTTTCCAGCTCTGAAATTTTGAAAATTGTAAGTGAAACAGTACTTCCCTTCTCATTAATGCATTTCTTTGCTTTTTGAATTCTAACAAGATCTCATGTATGCTGAATTATCAGATACTGAAGCTGTCCAGGAATGGACTGCATGATTATATCCCATCTTTATTGAGATGAGAGAAGAGGAAAACCCTGCACCCATGACAAAGATCTCAGCTGAGTAACCTGTAATTATGAAGTGCATCAAAATAGGATGTGTGGGTCTGAGAAGCCGAGTTAGTAAGTAAAGAGCACTTTCAGCACAAGCCAGGCACAACTCTGTGCATCTGTAACCTCAGCACTGTGATATGTGGGTAGGGAAAAGGAGGATGGCTGGGATTTGCTGGATCACCATCTAGCCCCAGATTCAAGGGACTGACATGGGGAGTGATAGAGCAGGTCACTGGCATCTTCCTCTACACACACACACACAGAGAGAGAGAGAGAGAGAGAGAGAGAGAGAGAGAGAGAGAGAGAGAGAGAGAGAGAGAATGGGGCAATGGCTTTTCTGTCAGACTTGACAATTCATTTTTGCTGTGAATGCTCATTCCCAGGGCTGAGTACCAGATCCTGATATACCACAGGCTCTTCTCATGGGGACCTGTGTGTGCTGTGAGGACTGTAGGGCACTCACTGGAGCTTGCTCCTGTGTCTTGTCTACTCCTTTCGGTCACTCCACTGAGGGCCACTGTTGAGAAGCAGCCAAGCAATCGACATGAGCCCAGTTCCTGTTCATCTGCACTGGCTCGGTTGGTTCCCAGAAACAGAACAACTGGGCTTTCTAATCATCCCATTTTACAGATGAAGCTCTGAGGCTCACGCTGATCTCAAATAAAAGAAATGGAAAGAATCCTTTTGAACCAGTGGCTCCCAAACTTTGGGTCCTGACCACTGCGAAGTGGGTCTCAGTTTGTTACATGGAGAGCATTTAAAAAATATTCACAGACAGTCTACATTCTCAGGAGTGCTGAGTTATGCTGTAGGGCTCAAGCATCATTGGGTGATCTTGTCTATTAGGCTGCATAGCCCACTGTTATCATGGCACTGGGTACGGTCCATTTTGGACCTGTCTCTTTTTCTAAGATCACTTGAGACTAAGCCAGTTTAACCTTAGGGATCTACCTCTGTCCCCCTCTCTCTGCATGCGCCTCCATCAACATTAACCTCCCAGGATGCAAATAGGGGTCATGGATGTGGGTGAGCTAACAAACTTACTGTGTGACATCCTTCACTCTTAGCCTGATTTGGAAGACTGCCAGAAACATACGTGAGGTACTTGTGGGCTCCTGAGGAAGCCAAACTGGGACATCTGACAAGAGGCTGTCTGTAGGTCTGCCTTGTGATGTTTTGTTGATTTTTATTGCATGAATCTCCAAAGTAAAAAGTAGATCCTGAAAGCTTACCTTCAGTATTGCTCCACATATATCATTTATTTGATTGAATAAAATTCTCAAAGTGGGGGTTAGATTCATATTGCCCTGGATCAGGGGCTGAGGCAGGGCACAGTAGATAGCTTTGGAATCAAGACCAGTATGGAAATATTTTCTTTCTTGACTGGGTCATGCCAACTTTCTGGTTGTGCCACTGTCTTAGAGTTCTAGAAGATGTTGCCGCAGGGAGAAACTGGAGAAAGGAGCATTCACCATCTGTTTTTTTTTTTTTTTTTTTTTTTACTATCTCACATGAATTTTCAGTTATCTCAAAACTAAAAGCTTAACAAAAATGGAGGGTATAAAACACATAATGCAATGTAACTATTTACTCAGTGTGAGTTTGAAGGTGCACAGGAACCTATTGCATTTATTACATTTTCTGAATGCTATAAGTATTTAGTAAAGGCAAAATTCTCTGGAGTTATCCTCAGTCTTTTGTGTACACAACTTCACCCAAGATCTACTCTTGGTCCCCTTAGCCAGTTGTGACGGAGGCAGCAGCCTGAGGGATTTTATGAAGGACAACAGTGTTGTGGAATATTATTTTAACTAGGCAAAGATGTTTTACATTTGTTTGTCCTGTGGAATATTACTTTAACTGTGTAAAGGTGTGTTACATCTGTTCATGCTGCATTTGTTTAACCATGTAAGGATATGTGTTTAGTTATGTAAGGATGTGTTGCATTGTTTCACCTTGCCTGCCTAAGGTACCTGATAGGTCTAATAAAGAGCTGACTGTCCAATGGCTAGACAGAGAAAGGACAGGCAGGGCTTGTGCACAGAGAGAATAAATAGGAGGAAGAATGAGAGGAATGAGAGAAGAAGAAAGGGGAGGCAGAGGAGAAAGAAAGGGATATATCTGGGGCAAGAAGTCAGGCAGCTGCCAGCCAGCCAGATAGCAGCAGTGGAATTAAGATATACAGAAAGAAAAGCAAAAGGCCCTGAGGCAAAAGGCAGATAAAGAGAAACAGGTTAATTTAAGCTAAAAGACCTAGCCAGAAATGACCCTAAGTTAGCTGAGCATTCCAAACTAGTAAGTCTCCGTGTCATTATTTGGGAGCTGGCTGGCAGGAGAGAAAAATCCTCGCTACACAAAGGTTTTGAGCTGCAGTGATGACCTCACTTGAAAACCACTCTGTTTCTCCCTGTTCTTTTCAACCTGGGAGCACCCAAAGCTGTGAGCATGGGAATTCCTTGTCTTTCTGTAGCTTCTTTAGTGCTCCTCTGAAAATTTGTGGTATGTCATAGAAACAGGCAAAACGAGAGTTCTAGCTTTAGTGACAGCAATTTCTAGACTGAAGGAATGACCTTTAGTGTGGTGTTTTGAATGAGAACACATGGTCCCTGTTGGTGGCACTGTTTGGGAACCTTTAGGATGTGGAGCCTTGTTGGAGGAAGTAGGGCACTGGAGGTGAGTTTGGGGCATTTCCAGTCTCATCTTGCTTTTGGTTCACTCTGCTTTGTGGGTGTGATTGAAAATGCTCTCTCAGCTACTCTGGCCTCCTCAGCTGCCATACCTCTGCTGCCATTATGGATTCTCCTTTAGTTTTTTTTTTTTTTTAGTGTGTGTGTGTGTGTGTGTGTGTGTGTGTGAGAGAGAGAGAGAGAGAGAGAGAGAGAGAGAGAGACAGAGAGAGAGAGAGAGAGAGAGAGAGAGAGAGAGAGAGAGAGAGAGAGAGAGATTTAAAAACAGGGTCATAAATGGCAGAATTTGTTTATTATACAGCAAAAGTACAAGACCACAATACAGTCAAAAGGGACTAAGGGAGACATGTAGAGCATTTCGTTGTCAAAATAGGAGAGCATGTCTATAGACTCAATTAGGGTCAATATTATGGACTAGAGGAGTGAAGGGCTTCCAGGTAACATCAAGAAGATGGAGTTGGCTGCAGCAGGTCTACTCACATGGGTTCTGGATGACAATCAGAAGATATTCCTTATCTAGGGAGAAACATGAATGAAGTTAATTCATATCTAATCCATGAACATTTCAGCGAGCCTGCCTTCTTCCAAACACCACATGGATGTTGGGTAGACAATGGCTACACATCAGAATTACCATGGCACACTGGAGAAGATGGAAGCACACAGACTTGGCACAGCATTTATAATTTCATTTGTCCATTGTCCCCGGCATGACTAATTATGATAAATATTCTACAAGTAGTATTTATGTGCAGTAGCAGATAAAACTTTATCTACTTATCTGATGAGATCATGTGCTATATGCTAGGTTTGTGGCCATAACACAATTATTCAGAAACACAGTGAGCATAATTCCTTCAAGGACGTGACTCTGTGGCCATGTCTTCCAGCAGACCAGCTGGTCACACTGACCTCACAGGGAGGCAACACACAACTAGCCTTGGATACACTTCCTATTTCATTTCCAGGATGGGTCACTTCTGCCACTATTCAGAGTCCCTGTGCCATTCTGCCATTTCTGTCCCTGTTTTTAAGTAACACACACACATAAAGCACTTGCTCTCTTCCATGCGTGTGTGTGTGTGTGTGTGTGTGTGTGTGTGTGTGTGTGTGCGTGCATGCATACACACACACACACACACACACACACACACACACACACACACACACACACACACACACTTGAAAACTGAAAACTAAAAGAGAGTCCATAATGAGAGTGGAGACATAGCAGCTGAGTGGGCCAGAGCGGCTCAGAGAGCGTTTTCAACCACACCCAGAAAGCAGAGTGAACCAAAAGCAAGATGAGCCTGGAAATCCTCCAAACCCATCTCCAGTGATGTCCTAGTCCCTGTCCTAGTCCCTGTACCAGTTATTTTGATAACTAGTAAGTGTAAATGGGAAAATTCAGCTTGTTTAAAGGTCAGATTATTCGCTAATGTCATACAATGTTTGAGTTTGGCTTTTCGGAATGAAACGTATTTGTTTTTGTGATCAAAGAGCTTTATGCCTTGCATTACATATTGACATCTATACCCTTGACAAGACTCTATATCCCTCCGTCTTTGAAACAAGGTTTTAAATCAGTAAGGTAGAAAAGCATTTTAAGTATGAAATGACATGTTCAGTTACCTGGGGCTACCATGATTTCATGTTTCTTCGATCTGATCCTGAGGAAAGTCAGGTCGTTCTGGGGGTCAATGTCCCGGACCGTGCTCTTAGCCTTCATGGTCAGCTGGTGGAGAAGACCCGCATATTGAACTGTTGTGGAGTTGTCCAGGGTTGTTCGGATTGGAATGCCTGTGAGGAGATTTAATTTGGAGTTATTTTCACCCTGATTATAAGAGAGATATGTGCGCTGTAAAAACTGCTGGAAATCACTCATCCTTGTAATGGCAGAAAAACTGACGGTGGATATCACTAACTGGCATCAATTTTAGCTTATGGTTTGTTTTTATCATCTTTTTGTGTCTATATAGAGTTTTAAGTAGAGTTGAGTCAAGTGGTGTTTACAGATTCGACTGTGACTTTCTCATTATTTAAGTCAGAACACACAAGCTTCCCTTGCCAGTAATGTCATTGCCATTACTGTTTATCTCTGCATGCTTTTATTGTATGGATATGTTGTAATAGGATCAATATATTGTTTGGATATTTGGTATTTTACATATTTAATAGTAAATTTGTGGTGAATATTTTTGTGCATAAATCATCTATAAGCTGTTAATTGGTCATTTTAATCCTAATCGTATATATATATGATTTAATCCCGATTGCACATATATTTATATATATGCATTATCAAGACATCCCACTTTTGAAATCTGTGGTCTATAATGTGGCATTTGTCTGCTTCCCTGAAACATGAGCCACAAAGGGACAGCACTGCCTAATTTCTAACTCTGTCCACAGTGTTTTGCAAACAAATTTTATGTTAGAAAAATATGGTAACAAGGAGACTGACTTTTTCTGGGTGGGTGTCCCTGTTTTGTGCTTATTTTCTGTTTAAGCATTATTAAATTTGGCCTCTTGTTCACTCTGTTGCTGTATTATGTGAGATTAGAACAGATTAAATCTACTGATTTAATTAAAAAATTCTAGCCAGACAAATATGCAAGTCTGAGTTAATACAGTTCAAAGCCGTCAAGCCCCGGCTGGGCCCCCAGCACCCAGTGTGTGTTATGCAGCAGCCAGCAAGTTAGATGCTTCACACACATTGTATCTGATCGTGCTGATTATGTTGAGATTATGATTATGTTGAGAACTGTCAGACAGGAAGAAACTCTAGGGATTTCATTTTGAAATGTGCCTTCACTTCAGGGGGACACATAGCAAGAGTCTGTCTGGGATCGTTATCCAATTCCTTAAGCATCTGAATTAAGGCCAGTCAACAAAAGTCCAAAGCAGCTCTTAGGTTTTCCTTCAGAAAACATAGCTCCAGAAACTAATACCAAAGATGAGCATTTTTCAAAGACAAAGGATTACTATCTTAGAATTTTATCAAGGCTTCACAACACTGTGGGAGACTGTCAGTTTTGACTTTGAAGCAGACTTGACTTTCTTTGCGATATCATCTCCAGAACAGTAACAAAGGGTTGTCCAGCTTTCACAGCATGACCTATTCTGTAGAGAAAACCATTCATTTCTCTAATATTATTTCTTGTCCACTTTCTCCCCAAGGGAAGTCTGTTGTCTTTCATAGCCAAGAAGTCACAAAGCATGGACCTGCAGCCAGTGGGAAGTAGTAGTATAGCAGGTACCCAGATTCCAGAGAGACTTTTGGACAGACAGTTTTGTTTCATATCTTAAACACTGACAACCATTGAAGCCTGAATTGCTCAGTGTCAGGATAAGAAATAGAACCAGAATAAATTCTTCAAAGCACAGATGACAAGACCATGAAGCAGAGGCTTGGACTGTTGAGTCTGTCTGTTCGTAATCCAGGCCAGTAAATAAAAGAGGCCACCTTTCTGAAGAACACATGCACAACTATAGAAATGGGATGTTTTCACTCTCAGATCCTTGAAAGCAGACAATCAGGAGGTCAGGGTTGGGGATTTAGCTCAGTGGCAAAGTGCTTGCCCAACAAATGCAAGGCCCTGGGTTTTGTCTCCAATCTCCCAGACCAACCAACTAACCAACCAACCAACCAACCAACCAACCAACCAACCAACCAACCAACCAACCAACAAGACAAAACAACCAGTTAAGAAGTATTTAATGAGCTTTTGCTTTGTACCAGTTAAATTAATCTATTAAAAGTATTTTTAAGCTGGGCTGGTAGTGCACGCCTTTAATCCCAGCACTCAGGAATGCAGAGGCAGGCGGATCTCTGCTTGAGGCCAGCCTGGTCTACAGAATGAGTTCCAGGACAGCTAGAGATACACAAAGAAACCCTGTCTCAAAAACAAACAAACAAATGCATTTTTAGGCTGGGTGTGGTGGTGAATGTTTTTAACCCCAGTGCTTTAGAAACCCAGACAGGAAGATGGTTGTGAGTTTTAGGCCAGCTCTTTTATAAAAACAGATCCAAAAGTAATCTCAGTACGTGGCATAAAGTTCACTCACTTGCTTTGGTGTGTGTGTGTGTGTGTGTGTGTGTGTGTGTGTGTGTTGTGGAGGCCAAAGGACAACCATGGGTGTCAGGTGTCATGTTCAGGGAAGCTGTACATCTCCTGTGGGGCAGAGTATTTCATTGGCCTGGAGCTTACCAGTTAGGATATATCAGCTGGCCAATGAACCCAGCAATCCTCCTATCTATACCTCTCTGGTGCTGGGATTATAAACAAGAACCACCACACCCACTGGGAATCAAACTCAGGTCTTTGTGCTTTCAAGGAGAGCACTTTACTGACTGAGCTGTCTCTCCAGCCTCACTCACCTCCTTTCTGAGAAACAATCATCGGTCCTAGTTTTTTACATCTCCATCCAGGAATACACTAAAAGTGACTGAAAAATCACTTTGAATTATCACTTATGTGATCGCTGTAATCTGTGCCTAATCCTGTTCCTCTCTCCATTCCCCTTCTTTCCCTCCTTCCCTCCCTCCCTCTCCCTTCCCTCCTTCCCTCCTCTCTCCCTCCCTCCCTCCCTCCCTCCCTCCCTCCCTCCTTCCTCCTTCCTTCCCTCCCTCCCTCCCTCCCTCCCTCCCTCCCTCCCTCCCTCCCTTCCTTCCTTCCTTCCTTCCTTCCTTCCTTCCTTCCTTCCTTCCTTCCTTCCTTCTTCCCCTCCCCTTCTTTCTGTGGTGCTGGGGATCAGAACTCACAGCCTCATGTTTGCAAGGTAAGCTCTCTACCAGTTGGGCTGTACCCCTTGCCTCACCCTCTGTCATTCTTCCATACTTAAGTGTATACATGTACCTGACTGTGTAAACAAAGAGGAAATACTGACAACTGCTTTGTATTCTAGTTTTTCATATAAAGATAAGTGGTTCACTACCTTTCTTCAAGAATATGTGTTTGTGTGTATAGTTTCTATTTTAATAGCGCCCTAATATTTTTATTTAATACCTTTAGGAAATTGTTTGGTAGAACATACAGGGCTAAACTGTTTAACAGGCAGTTGAATGTCTACTTTGTAATACATGTAACTTACATGACCTCCTGACAGGCATTTAGGCTGTGCTCAGTCTATGACTTCTAGCAACAAGGCTACATAACCTGTCATTGCACATTCATTTGTTTGGGTAGGCGACATTTCCAAAACAGAGCTCCCTGAACAAAACATATGAACATTTTAGAATTTGATATTGTTGAATTTATGGCACCACTCTAGGATATGACTGCCTGTGATCCTGAGAAGCTGGGAGTCATTATTTCAGTTTGCCACTGCAACTGTGCCTTTGTGCTTTGCTGGGTAGATTGTATTTCCGTAGCAAAAGAACCAACGGGCTGAATGACTGATAAAATCTAATGATATTCAAATGATGAATTGTTGGACGCGTCAAGAATATTTAAAGTCAAAAGCCGATAGAAACTGGGCTTAAACATAAAAGACTATATGACAGCTTTGAGTACTTGGGAGGTGGATATTTACATATTGGTGTTACAATGATGGTTCTTATAAATGGGAAACTAAAATGAATAAAGAATCCACTGTCGTCTGTCATTGAAACCTAGATCACTCAGAAACAACAATGGAGTCTTCTTTTTTTGTCTTAAATAGGAAGCCTGTGTCTTGGAAACAAAGCAAAGGCTCAGTACACAACCTGGCGTGTGATGCCATCTAAATGGATAAACACAGTAGACCTACTTAATTAACTACAAGGCAAGCTGACAATGATGTTAACACGTTGTCTACGAGGCTTTTCAACCACAGTCACCAGCAGAGAACAAGAGGGTGGCAATAGTGTCCCGGGGACCTGCTTTTAGTACTAAATTGCCCAGGACTTCTGAAGGCTGTGAAGCTGAACTGTAATAAGAGACGCCTCCAGCAACACTTGAGAAGGCTATTAAGACTGTTTTGTTACATTGAGGTCACACAACTTATACCACATGCCATTAGTAAACAGCCCTGACACCCTCGGATCATTGACCATCTCACCACAAAAATAAGCTGGGGAGCGGGTTAATTTGATGTCAGGTAGAAATCAAGTTTCCACAACCCTTGAAAAGTGCCCTCATTCTTGACATAATATTATTCTAGTGGCAGTTAGAGAAAGCTAGGCGGTTAGGTATTAAAAATAACACTTCTGTTGCTCTCATCAAGAAATTGAAATTTTCACTGAGAAGTGCAGGAAAGCAAACTTTACTTCTAATGTCACTACTTGGGGAGAATCACTCCGACATCTGAACTTTTCCTTCTTCACTCTTTTTTGGTTTTTTTTTTTGTTTTATTTTTGTTGTTGTTGTTATTTTTGTTTCTTTGAGATGGGGCACCATGAAGCTTAGGCTGGCCTCAACCTAGCTGAAGATGGCCTTGAACTCCTGCTTCATCACCCCAGTTCTGGGATTCTAGGTATGTTCCACCACGCTGTATTTATTCAATAGAACCCAAGGCTTTATGCATGCTAGGCAGGCACCCCACCACTTGAGCCACACCCTAGCTCCCCATGTTTACTTGGAGTGTATGCATGCACCTGACTGCATAAACTATCCAAAAATGTGTCCTGTTGCTTCATTTCTTGCTTTTGTTCCTAGGTCCAAATCTTTTCCCCATCACTCTTTGTTGTGGTGTTCTTCAGACATCTAATGCACCTCACCAACTTTGGGTGCTTTAGATTAAGGCATTCCAAGGAAACTCATTAGAGGCATTGGCCTGTGCCTGTACTGGGTTAAAGTGTTCTCCCAAACTTAAGTCCACCCTAAACTTCAGAAGACAGCCTTGTTTGGAAAAAGGTTCTCTGTAGAAGCAATCAGTTCAAATGAAGCCATACTGGGTTAGGGTGGGTTTTCATAGATATAGACTAGCGTAATCTGTCTGTAAGCCAAGCAACACCGATGATTGACTACCACGAGAAATGCGCAAGAGGTCAGGAGCCTCCAGCCACAGATTCCTCAGAAAGACCATGGCCCAGTGAAGCTTCAATTTCAACCTTCCAAGTAGAGATGTAATAATTTTTTGCTGAGTTTTTTGTGGTGTGTGTGTGTGTGTGTGTGTGTGTGTGTGTGTGTGTGTGTGTGTGTATACATGGGTGCATGCACAGGTCAGATGCTGACATTGGGAGTCTTTCTCATCAGTTTTACTTTAATTTTACTGAAATAGTGTCTCTCACAGAACTTGGAACTTAACTGGTTCATTAGGCTCCCTGGCCAGGGAGCCCTAGGGATACCCTGTCTCTTCTTCCCCAGATGCTTGTATTCCAGGAGCACAGATGTTGTACCTACCTTTTCACACAGGTGCTGGGGATCTGAATTCAGGTCCTCACACTTGTGCAGCAAACACCTAACCGACAGATCTCTCTCCCCAGGCCCCGTTTCTACTATTCAAAGCCAACGAAGGTGTGTGTGGTATTTGCTGTCATAGCCGAAGCAAACTCACAAGGCCTCCCCTGTGACGTCACACAGGTAGCTCCTGTAAGTCAGGGTGGGGGATTCTGTAGCAGATACTAGGAAGCAGAGTCCGTTTAACCAGGGCCACCCCAAGAGTTGACCACTTCCTGGAAATACACAGCCCAGCTTTTGACTTCTTGTACAGACAATCCTAACTCCTTCTTCCTCATTCCTCAGGCTCAGTGAATTTATCGTAGTGCCCATCACTACATGCATTTAACAGAATTATTATTTTTTTATTTTCTAAAACAAGCCAAATGTTTCCTCTGCAAATCTCAAGCAAGTAAATCAAAGTTCTCAGAAATTCTTTAATTAGAATCCTATTAACTGTTGGCAACTAAACTGGGCACTCGATGGTCCTCTCCTCTAACTGCCGCAGCCACCAGGACTCGGGTTATTTTCCATCCTTGATGACACGGAGACAGAGTGCAGAATTTCATCAGTCTCTTAGCTGGTGGTTGCACAATAACCATTTACTGGTGGATTGCACCAGAACACTGAGCTGGGGACCAGCCAAGTCTACGACTGTACCCACTGTGAATTATTACAAGCGGCTACTCTTATTTCAAAGAATTCTCTGGAAATGTTGGTACCTTTCACTCTTTTTTTTTTTTTTTTTTTTTTTTTTTGGTTTTTCGAGACAGGGTTTCTCTGTGTAGCTTTGCGCCTTTCCTGGATCTTGCACTGTAGACCAGGCTGGCCTCGAACTCACAGAGATCCGCCTGGCTCTGCCTCCCCAGTGCTGGGATTAAAGGCGTGCGCCACCACCGCCCGGCAACTTTCACTCTTAACAAATGCCCGACTTAGCAGAAGGATAAGCAGGGACCTTTGAGAGGCAGAACATGGAGCAATGAGCCAGGGAACATGCTATGCAGAGTCTTCCTATAGGGGGCGGATACTTCTGTGCACACCTGCACCTGCACACATGCATAAGTGGAAGTCAGAGGACAAGTTGTTGGAGTCAGTTATCTCTTTCCACCACATGGTTGCTGGGGGTAGAACTCAGGTCTTCAGGCTTGTCCGCAAGCACACTTTGCCCACTGAGCCACTGGGTAGACTCACTATGCAGATTCTGGATGATGGTTCAGAGACAGTGAGTCCCAGGTGAGTATCCACATCTCATAGTTGGGAATGAATTATTCCTTCCTGCCTGTTATTTACAGGACTATTCCAGAAATGCTATGAAATGAATTCTTGTGTTGGAGGGGTCCCAGGGAGACTTGGAGGGGGCTGTAGGGGAGAGAGTTGCCTAAGATATATTATATACACATATGAAAGATATCTGCATGAAATGTTCAAACAACAAATTAAAATTGCTATTAAAAGGAATAAAAATGAATTGTAAATGTTTTTTTACCTAATATGATAACAGAAAATTTTAATTTTAAATGAAGATTGAAGCTCTGTACTGTAGCCTTTATAACATTAAGCTGAAATCAAACTGCCAATCATATAATTTCCCCCTGCCTTTCAACAAGAGAGTTTTGCTGGCCCTCTTGAAGTGATGTGAATTGCCAGAGTTTTTGAAGAAGACACTGTGTAGTATTTCTTAGGGATACATAGGCATTGTAGGCAGTGTGTCTTAGATGAGTGATTGGTATACAGTAGGTATCCTATAGATGTCTGATGAATAACTGCTAGGGCTGGGACAGACAAAACATGCTTTTAAGTTTATAATCTAACATAAGTGTCTTCATTTTTAACATAATAAATGGGTCTCCAGTGAGCCTCTGTTTTGGGACCCAGTCAGCTTATGGCAAGAGTTACCTTCTGCGTTGACCACCATGGTTCCAATGACCCCTTTGTGGCTCTGGATTCTCTTGAGGGTTTCCTCCACCTCTGTCTGCAAGAGATTAGGGCCACCATTAGCTAGAAAGGTCTCTGTGGTGACATCAACTCTACAGAGAACATCTAGGAAGATACCTAGTCCCCTATTTCTCTAACTGAGAGCTGGATGCTATATGCTCGGCTGTTTAAGAGGTAAGCTTAAAACTGTTAGATCTCACATAGAAACTGTGTAAGAAGCCTTCACTTGCAGAGAACCTAGACAGATTTCCAGGTTTCAGCCCCAGTGGAGACAGAGATCCTCATAAGGGCTCCCTAGAAGCTTAAGTATCCTCATTTGCTAGAGAAGTAGTGCTTGCTTTGTTTGTTTTTATATTGGCCAGAAATCTACCTTAGGTTATCTTTTAGTAGCTCCCATTTCTGTACTTAGGAAAATTTCTTTTGTGTGTCATAGTCCTTTAATACTTATCCATCAACACTATATCCTCTGAGTGTCCAAAAGCTGCCCTCAGAGAGACATCTTAGTTTCATCTGTCACCTCCATTGGGCATTCATTCTGGTCATTCAATGTACAAAAGGTATTCTATGCAAGTAGCATATTGCAGGATGCTGGGGTCTCCTGATTGCAGTGGCTTGTGTCTTGGTTTAAGCTGAATGTTCAGCTGTGAATGACTGGGACCCCGTGGCTGGGTTTTACGTTCCCCTGTATGAGCTGACTGTGCATAAACCACTGTGCTCCCTGTGCTGTCTTTTTTTCCTACAGCACATTGAAAATCTTTACATTTCTTTTTAAAATATATTTTATTTTATATTTATATAAATATATTTATATTTCAGTCAGAGGCCGGTTTTCTTTTGCACCCAAGGTATATGTGAGTGAGCACTTACATGTCTTCCCCATCACCAGAGCAGGTATGAATTTGAGGAAATGCCATGCTAGCTAGATTCATGGCTTTCCCCACTATGGATACTATTAACATTGAATTAGCATGTTCTTTAAATTATACCATGGCCCAAAGCTTAAAGAAATGCATCTGCAGAGGAGACTATTCATTGCTACCACAGGTTAAAAACTGACTCCCTGTCACAAATTGAAACAACAGTAAAAACAAGGAAGAAAGCATATTTTATATTTCACTACCATGAAAGTCCTGAGCCTGAGGTGTTCTCTGAAAGTGAAAATGGGACAGTAATATCAAGGACCTGATAGTGCCAGGCACTTGTTTTGTCCCATACACAGTCTTGGACAAAAACAAAACAAAAAACCAAAACCAAAACCAAAAAAAAAAAAAAACCAAACAAAAAACCCCAAACAAACAAACAAACAAACAAAACAACCAGAATGAAAGAAAGAAAAGGAGACGTTTTTCATGGGGTGAAACTTGGCATTTCTTAATCTTCTTCTGTCTGGCCTGGAAGATCCAAAAACCACCACAGTTCTGACCATCTCTGGAGAGTGTCTACAGCTCTCCAGAGCCACCCAGCCCTCTCTCTCCCTCCATCGCTCCTCTCCACTCCTTGCTCCTCCCTACTGTTCCCTCTCCTCCAGGGTGCTTCTCTCCTGACTTCCAGAGGCCCCAGTGCAACCTCTGGAGAGTCCCTAAGCCCATCTCCTTCCCTCCTCTCCTCTCCCCTTCCCTTCTCTCCCTTTGCTTCCTCTCTCCCTCCCTCCCTCCTTCCCTCCTCCCTCCCTCCCTCCCTTCCTTTCTTCCTTCCTTCCTTTTTTCCTCTTCCTCCTTTTTCTTCTCCTCCTCCTCCTCCCCGTCCTCCTCTCCCTCCCCTCCTCCCCATTCTTCTTCTTCCCCCTCCTTTTCTCTCTCCTTTCCTCCCCTTCTTCCTCTCTCCATTCCTCCTCCCTCCCTCCCTCTCGATTTTCCTTTCTTTCCTCTTTGTCTCTTGCTCCCCTCCTTTCCCATTCTCTTGCTCTCCCGGTCCAGTTTTCTCAGCCCGGGACCTTTCTCCTCCATCTCTATTGTTCTTTGCAAACTTTCCTGGCTCCCAGATTCATCTCAGCATCTCCCCTTTCTCAATAGCGCCCCTTCCAGCTGTCATCCCGTAAATAATGAGACCCTCCCAGGACAGCTGTGCCCATGCCCACGGTGCCTTCCCCTCAGCCCTTCCCGACATAGACCCAGCCAGATTTACCATCGTGCCGGTGGGACAGCTCCACTCTCAAGCCTGAGCTGCAGTTTCTGTGGTTGTCAACAACGCTTCCCCGTTGCTAGGAAACCAGGCAGGAAGTGGCTTCCAGAAAGCTGTGGGGCTGCGCCTGCGCAACCGTCAGGCTGTAGCTGAACCCGGGTTTTTCTCCCTGCCGCTGGCAGGCTGCCTCCTAGTCTTGCGAAAGGTTCTAGAAGGCAGGCAGAGGGCGTTCCTTCCCGATGTAGCTCAAGGCAATGGGTCGTGGTGGGGAACTCTTGTGTCTTGCGTGAGTCCTATGTCTTCCCCTTTCCATGTTTTCTGGAGATGTGGCGACCACTTGTCCCTGGAAGCAGGCAAGTGCAGCCAGCCATTCTACTGCCCCGAGGTGAGATATATGATACCCACGTGGATGCCTTATAATACCCACGTGAGATGCAGTACTATCTACATGAGAAACCATAGTACACTATGGCTGTGATAGCACCCAGGAAGGGTGCTCATGTCAAAACCAACTGATTTCACTTATCACTGAGTATTTGAGACTGAAGCTGAGGCGATCTAGAAAGGGTTGTAGGGTAGTCTAGTGTCATTTCTGTAGCTGTGATAAAACACCGTGACAAAGAGCAACTAGGAGAAAGGGTTCAGTTTAGTTCACATTTCCAGCTTGCAATCATCATTGTGGGGAAATCAAGGCAGGAGCTTGAAGCAGCTAGGTAGATCCATACTCAACAGAGAAAGAAAGACGGGGAGAGGGAGAAGGAGGAGGAGGTGGAGAAGGAGGAGGAGGAAGAGGAGGAAGAGGAGGAGAAGGAGGAGGAGGCAGAGAGAGAGAGAGAGAGAGAGAGAGAGAGAGAGAGAGAGAGAGAGAGAGAGAGAGAGAGAGAGAGAGAGAGAGAGAGAGAGAGGATGCCTAAGCTTGGTTCGTTTTTCACTAGTCCTTATGCAATTCAGTTCTTAGCTTAGGGAATGGTGCCTCTACGTTTAGGCTGGGCCTTCCCACATCAATTAACATAAGATAATCCCCATAGACATTTCCACAAACCAACCTATCTAGATAATCCCTCAGGGAGACTCTCTTCCCCAGTGATGATTCTACATTGTGTCTTGTTTACAATTAAAACTAACAATCACATAGTAGAAGAGTGGATCTGAGGTGTATGTGTGTGTACATTGTCTCAAGTGATTGCATTGTTTTGCAGGAATAAAATTGTGGGTCTTTGCAGCACCTCTGGTTGAATAGCATAAAGTCTTGACTCTTCATCGCCCTGCTTCCTCGTGTTTCTTCTAATCGAGGAGATTTCCACTTGAATTTACACATAGCCATTTGTTTTTCTTATAAAACTCTGGCTATGCACCGGATCTGTTATGTCAATCAACCTTAATGAAGGAAGGGGCTGCGTAAGCATGGGGGTGAGTTCCCTCATTTCTGGAGTCAGGGTGTCAAACTTGTTCAGGAGCTGACAGCTGTGATTAGAGGCAAGCAGGACTCCAGCATGAAAGGCCCTGGCAGCAGAGGCCAACAGCACAGGAAGAAATGAGAGGTGGCCAAACTGACTTCCACCAGCAGTCAAGTTGGACTCTGTGCATAGGAAATCAATGAGGAGAATATGAGCCATTTTCTCCTCATCGACTTTTCACTCTAATTATTCCTTGGAGGTAGTTTGGTTTAATTTTTATGCCTTCCCTTTGGGGGTGGGAATATAATGAATATCCAAGGTTGTGCTGTATAAAATGCCTTGGAGGAATCTGACATGCTCTCTCCCCCATCCTAGGTACTGGGCATCCTTCCACCCTCTCTGCTGCCTCCCATCTCTGCCCCTTTCTCTTAACTGACAGTGAGTTCTAAATAACCTTCAACTCCAGTGGAAGTGTGTTAGTGACGAAAACTTGCAAGCACTCGGAAAAACAAAAGTGCGGGCATATTTCATTCTTCCTCGTGCTTAAGCGTCAAGATGAGAGGCTTGTTTTTCTGAGCATGAGGGGCCTCTCTTGTTCTTGGCTGTCTCCCGTTTCTGGTTAGCCTGATGGGATAGGGGTAATGTCATGCCCTTGAATTTCCCCTTGGAATTTTCTCTACCATTCTATGTAACTTTGGCACTCAGTTTGCGATCACTGAGTTGGGCTGCACTCTCTATATCTTCTGTTCATTTTCCTCATGAGATTTCTGCATCATTTGTCAACTTAAACAGAATTTATAGTGCTCTACTGCTGGGCATCTTAAGCTTTATCCAGTTACAACCTCCTTTTCCTTGACAAGTTTTTTTTTTTATTTATTATCTATTTTATGCATATGGGTACTTGGCCTGCATGTATGTCTGTGCACTAAGTGTGTGTATAGAGACCACAGAGGCCAGAAGAGGATGACAGATCCTCTGGAATTTGAGTTACAGACAGTTATGAACTGCCATTTGGGTGCTGGGAATTGAACCCAGGACCTCTGCAAGAGCAACCAGTGCTCTTAACCTCTGAGCCATCGATCCAGCCTTCCATGACAATATTCTATGTGGCCTTGTGTGTAAAAAAGTAGGTCTAGAAATCAAGCATTTATTGATAAATCACAGAGAAATTTATTTGAATACAATTCTTTGGTCTACAGATAATCTTACCATTCATTAAAAGAGGAAAACAGTTTGCATGCTAATGAATAGGAGGTGCTTGTCTATCTAACACAAGCCAATTCGAAGATACTGTGATACTTACATGTTGAGGAATGGTGGTAGGAAAAATCCTTGTTTTCTGTAATTGAACATTAGTTTCTATATGGATGGAAAATTCCTGTTAAAATATAGATATTTTAACATAATATAATCACCACTGCAACTCTTAGCATTAGTCTTAAATTTGAGCGAGGTTTGTTTCAGACACTATTTGTTGGCTTTGCATGGTATGAGGGCATGCGCAATGCAGAGTGTACTTGATGTATGCTCAGAGCCAAAGCTGCTGTGTTTGAAATGCAACTCATCAAGAACTGCAAAACATGTCATATTCATTGTGTGTCTGATTTTGAATTAATTTTTGGTCCTTGCATGTTTAGGAACATTTTACTGTTTGTTTTTTTTTTTTTTTTTTTTTTTTGCCAAATTTGTTAAGAGTTTTGTACTTTGGTATCTCATTCAGAATTCCTCTCACTAAGGAGAAGGAGCAGTGGCAGAACCTTAAAGGAATTGGCCATATCACATCTATAATCTGAGGCAGAGAATGCATGCTAATGCTCACTTGCCTGCTTTCTCCATTCTTATGGAGTCCAGAACCTTCTGCCTAGGGAATGGTGCCACCCACAGTGGGCTGATCTTCTCACTTCAGTTAATATAGCAAAGATAGATAACCTCTGTTATACATGCCCACAGGCAAATATAATCTAGACTAGAGAGTCTCTCACTGAGACTCCCTTCCCAGGTGACTCAAGATTGTGTTGTTTATATGAGAACTAATTACCATATTATGGAAGCCATGGAGACCCCTCTTCGCTTCTCTCTCTTACATGCATGCCGTCTTGCATTTATACCTTTTGCTGTGCAAGGAAGTTCATGGCAGATGCTGGTACCTTGACATTGAACTTCCTACCAGCCAGATCTCTAAGGAATGATTTATGTCTTTATAACTTAATCAGCCTGTTGAATTTTGTTACAATGTTACAAAGTAGACTCTGACAGCCATTTACTAGAAGACTCCATTTATTCCATTGCTGTCTGTGTTACACACAAAATGTTCATACATGTATATTTGTCTTTGAGGGCTGCTCATTATATTCAAGTTTGTGGGTATCCTTGCCCCAATTGGATGCAGTCTTATAATGTCTTGGTATTCAATAGCATGCCCCCCCTTCATTACTTCCTTTCTAATTGTGTGGCTTTTCTTTATGTGTTTTACATAGTATTCAAGTAGGATTATTCATTTCTGCAAAACCACATTTGAAATTTTGACTGGAAACTAAATCTGTAGACCTGTTAGTGGCATTGGAATATGTACAAAAAGTATTCTGGTTCATGATCGTTTTATGTCTTACCATCTTTAAAGTTTAAAAAAATAATTCTTTCAATAATGTGCAAGTTTTTGCATGAATGAATTTCACCATAAAATCCTGTTTAGTCACATGAGTGTTATTTTTCTGTTACTATAATGAACAAACTTGGCACAATTGTGTAGCTTGAGTTTTCCTGTCTGGCCCATAGTCAGGACAAATCTCTCTCACCCAACAGTCCCAAGCCGCTCAAACCCGATCAAGTAAACACAGACACTTATATTGGTTTCAAACTGTATGGCCGTGGCAGGCTTCTTGCTAACTGTTCTTACAGCTTAAATTAATCCATTTTTATTAATCTATACCTTGCCACGTGGCTTGTGGCTTACCGGTACTTTACATCTTCCTTGTCCTGATGGCGGCTGGCAGGGTCTCCCCCACCCAGCTTCCTGTCCTCTCTATTCTCCTCTCCGTTAGTCCCGCCTATACTTCCTGCCTGGCCACTGCCAATCAGTGATTTATTCATTGACCAATCAGCAACACATTTGACATACAGACCATCCCACAGCACAATTGAGCTGGAGAGATGGCTCAACAGTTAAGAGCACTTGATGCTCTTGCAGAGGACCAGAGTTGGGTTCTCAGCACCCATATGGGACACACCTGCAATTCCAGCTCCAGATAAGTTGATGTCTACTTTTAGCCTCTTACAGCAGCACTGCATGCATGAGGGTGCACATACCTACATACAGGAAAACACTCATATTCATAAAATAAACACAAATAAAATCTTAAAAATAAACTTGGCCCAATCAACCCTAAAGGAAGAAAGGTTCATATGGTTCATAGTGCTAAGAGGTTTCAGCCTGTGGCTGGGTAGCTTTCTTGCTTTGGATACAAAACAAGGCAAACTGTCCTGGAAGAGACCACATGGTGGAGCAGGCTTTGTGCCAGAAAGGATGCTCAGAGACTGAAGAAGAGGATGATGGTGAGGTTTATCTTTCCAGGGAATGCCTCCAGAGACCCACACCTTCCAATTTGGCCTCGCTTCCTAATGTTTCCAGCACTTCTTCTGTAATACTGTATGATTATGAATCTACCAATAGATGAATTAATTAGTGAGGTCAGAACCCCCAAGGACCCAGGAGTGTTGCCTTTATCGCTGCTGCACTGGAGACTAAGCCTTCAGCAGATGGGATACTGGGGGGGGGGGGGTCATGCTACATTCAAATCATTACAATAATATGGTAAGTATCATTGGACATTGCAAAAATGTATTTGCTTACCAGTTGCTGACAGTGTATGTATCAACCAGTTATTAATATAGGTTATCTATCTGGAAAACATATT